TATGTGTTGAAGTGGTCTTCAAGTCGAGCTAATTTTAATGAAGGCGACGACGGGAATTTCTATTCAAAATACGTCACCAAATTCCGTCCTCTCACAATATAATACGAAAAAGAGTCCTTGTTTAATCGCTCTGTTTAACCAATTCAATGTTTGGATTCCGCTTCTTTTCTATTTGCATATTTGACGTCAAGTACGCGATGCCGCAAATCAAAACCGGAACGACAAGACGAACCCTGAATAAATAAGCGCAAAAAAGCTGGAAAAATTCTCGGTTTGACACTTAATTAAAGCAGATTAAATGAATGTTGACTAAAACTTTTAATTGAAAAAAAGCAGTTGAACAGAGTGCGACACAAAAACACCTAGAAATCCGGTGGAAGAAAGGCAAAAGCGAAAAAGAGTTAGTCCGAACCAAAAGGCGCTATTAAAAAAGGATTCTATTTTTAAAAAAAGAGTAAAGAACACCTCTTCTACGTCTCCATTTTATCAATGATGTCTTTTTTTTAGCTTTCCATGGACCAACTCATGGTGAATTGCGTTAGCACTGGCTACGAGACTCCATAGAGCTATTCTCTCCCCACTACTAATGTGTATATATTTGGACACTGGTTACACTAATTTGAAAAGATAGCTGGTATCTCTCTTCATGCTGTTGTGCACATTTTCAACAGGTCACCATGAAAAATAATATGTAAATCATGAATCTGATTTTTTATTCTCTGAGTCGCTCGATCTCAACTTAAAGGGCATGAAAAATGGACGAAATTTTGTTATACTGACTTTTTGAATTTCTGCGGTTTTTGGAAATCATGAATCAAGCCAATTCTCACGGTTCGCATAACTGTACCAAATAGCAGAAATTAAATTCATAACAAGAAGAAAAAAACGGGGTGATGGTGTGTGAGGTGGAAAAAATATTCTAATGAGTGTTTGGTCCGGTGACCGAAAATGGATTTAATTTTTTTTGGATTCACCTTATCTCTTTTGCATTTTGCCCCTTTTCGCACTTCAACATTAAATGGTCGAGGATGATGTCAGCAATCTGCGATGCTAATCCTCCCCATATAAACATGGGTTCGATTATTTTTCTTGAAATATTATCAAAGGAATTGCAAACAATCAACATTCGATAGAAAAAAACTTTCGTTGTATTCGTCGCCCCTTACACTTACTCATTTTACGAGAAATTTAATTAGCACGTATCCAGATTTCAGAACACTAACGCTTGGTTGTTGTGGCGGTGGCAATGGCAGCAACAGCAGTTTTAATTGAAAATGTCCGTACACAAAAGCCATCGAGCGTCAACAGCCGAAGGATACATTCGAAACGAACAAGTTCAATTATGAAATTAGTTAAATTTGTAACGACTGCAGCGAAACAATGCTCTCCAAGCCGAAGAGAGAGTGGGAGATAGAGAGAAAGAAATAGATATAGTAAAGTGACGTTCATTTCCACTGTGATTACAATTTGTTTTCTATCCAAACTATATCCAGCGTGCATAGTTTGTAGAGGCTCTTCTCCGGTGTTATCGCTCTCGTGTCTGAATCTCGGTTCCTCTGCCTTACGTGTTTCTGTACGGAAACGTAATTTTTATCTCACTTTATATTGGCGCTCAAACCCACTTGAACTATAGTCATTTGCTCTACATTTATTTTCAGCTCAAAAACTTTTACATCCTATTTTCTAAATTGAAATCGTAAATAAAGTGAAGACTATTAAAATATAGTTATATGAATGAATTTATGGAATAGACTGGCCAAAAATATTTAACTTCAGCATTCAACGTAAATGTTTGTGTTTTTTTATAGGATCGATGATTTCGTCTCAATACTTCACATGCACAAAATTCAGAATAGCACGCTTTAAAAAAAAAATATGACGATTTTTACCTACTGGTAATACAAAAAAAAGTATAGAAATGAAAACCAAATAACAGGAAACTATACACACTTTTTCTTGATCATCAGCTGTTGGCGCCCTCTTTGATAGTTGATGAGAGCTAAGAGAGTTTCCTGTCATTGTGGAAACCAATTCAGACAGATCAGCAAAAGGCTACCAGGGTTTAAATTTTCCCATCTGCTCGATGTAGTCTCCATCGATTGAATCAAGTATGGCATGAAGTTGCAGTGTATGGTGAAATGTCACAAATAGTTGATTGTCAAAATATTGATGCATATATGAAATCAATTACTTCAATAAAATTTAAAATAAATCAATTTTTTTTCTTTTTTTTCTTTATAGTATTAAAATATATTTTATACATATATTTTTGCTTATATATAAATCAAAAAATATTATTTGAATGTAGTTTAAAGTCGCAATTTCTAGCAAAACATTGAGAAAGAACATCTAAACTGAGTTTACTGCGAACAACATCTATTTTACGCTAACAGCAATTTGTACACGAACGGGTCAGTGTGACAGTTGGTGTGGACGAGACAAGGTTTGAACCCAAACAATTTGGTTGTGTCAGTTTCAATATTCTTTTATTTTCGCAAAGATTCTTTTGAAAGAGTCTCTTTTGAAAACTCTTTCGAATCAATCGATGGAGGCTTCATCAAGCGGATGGGAATATTCAAACCCTGAAGGCTACATCTATTTTAAAATCTCGCAAAATATTTCATTCTTTTTCGATGTTTTCTCATCGTATCGCAATTTCTTTTTGAAAGACGAAAAAACGTCAGTACAAGCTGCGATGGTGCGATAAGCACGGAATATAAATTTATTGGGGAATATATTCTTTGATAGTTTCGAAGGACGTATTCAAAGCTCAAATCTTGCAGCGGTTTTAACATACAAACACACACACACAGAATGTTTTTCGAACTCATTATATGTAAAACTTACTTCAAATAGTCCAATTTCTGACGGCAAACAAAAGCCAACTTGAAACCGCGCTCCAACATACGCACATCAGATATGAATTTAATGGAATCTTACAATATTATTATGAGTCGCAACAATGATGCAATACAAAGGCCTGAATGAAAAGGTGGATGTATGTCTTTCAGTAAAAGGACCGTAGGCATTTTAATTCGTGTATTTTGAACGATGAATTCATAAATTTTAACTAAAATATACTCTTTTGTTCCGAATATTTGTTTTTAGATGCCGCGTACTTTAGAGCTACAGCAATCATTTTGATCTTGTTGATAGATTTGATGCTGTTCAGATACCGTAATTGCTTGCCTTTCGGCTGCCATTTCAACTTCCGTTCAAGAATTTAATTGCAATACTTATCTAAATCTATGGCTTTGACTTCAAGAGCTTTGAAAGGTTATTGATTGTTTTCGGCAAATCAATTGGATATTATTTTCAAATTGCTTCAATTTTGGCGTTGCCAATAATGTTAATTCTCGTTTTCATTTATACTGGGCGTATGGATTAATTGTCTCAAGTGTCTCAAGGCTTTTCCCAAAAAAAAAAAGATTTATTCCAATAACAAAATGAAAGTATAAATATCTCTTCAGGGCGAAAAATGGCAAAATTATAGAATGATTTTGATAGAATAATTTGATGAAACGGGACACATATCGTGGTTTACTGCATCCCTATTCAAACATCCTTTAAAATCGTTCGAGGTTCTACAATCCAATTTCGAACCAGGAAGAATGAAAACTAACGAGTGAACATGTTTCATTGGATTCATTTTGATGATACCGATTTCAATTTGGTCAAGGGATCAAATGTAATCCCAATCACTTGACCATGTAATTTAACGTTAGATGAGATGGGTCTATATATCGGCAAATCGCCCATCGACTCAATAACAATTTGATACTAAATGTGAAACAGTGAACGTGAAAAGTTTGACTTCAATGCACTGGGGTCTCATTTGCTATGAATATTTAGACGGATGGATTGTCTTTGTGTTTGTGTAAGATTGTATACGGAGAATTGTTAAAACAATGAATGGCCAAGAAAAGTCAGCGGACCAAGGCTTCGTCATAGCGTACCTTAGCATGCAGTATATTTAATGCTCTGCCTTATATACCAACATATCACACACACGCATAGCTGCCGCACACACTTCTCTCGCGCAAACGGTTGCGTACACAGTAAGCCTGGAGAAGGACGCAAAAAGAAGCATCAAATGAAGAATATACATACATAAAATAAAGATTAGGAATGTTTTTCTTCTCATAACCAAGACACAAGTATCAGAAATCCCTTTGGTCATAAAACGTAATGGCCATTTAACATTGAGTGGAAACTAAATTCTTGTGTCTGTTCGAAATGTTTGATCTCTGTGTCGTCTTTCCCCCATTATCAGAGCAAATTCCAGTAGCCTGAATATTTGATGAAACGTCTTACAGTAGGAACGAACGATAAGAAAGCTCAACACAAGCCACTGATGTTATCATACATTCATACGCAAGTAGAAAATATACTTTTTCGTTCCTTTATTTAGTGTAATCAAAATAGTGCATTTTCGATGCCCAAAATATGTGAAACTTTTTGTTTCATCTGCCAAATAGATGAACATAATTTTGAAGGTCCATATGCCTTTGGATAATTTAATGTGGGAGAATAACTCTTGTGTTTCGAGAGATATGATGCATGTGTTGTATTTGGGCTAATTAAATGTTGTTTTCAAACATTCCCATGCATTCCCACTGAACGGATACTAATTAAAAGTGAATTCGTATACGTTTTGCACGGAAAATGTTTCAGATGCACATTTTCAAGTATTCATAACCACATTAGCTCAACTTTAGAACAAGAAACACGCCAATGGAATATCCGAAAACTTGAAGCATTCTAGTGCTTTACGGTTTGAAATTACGTGGGAATTGTTGGAACGGTATGCACATTGAAAATATATTTCATAAATTTTGCGCATCTGAAATGCGTACTTCAATAAAATTACTTCAGCATAATATACATAATATATCCCGAATGATAGCATTAAATCAGTACCCGGTCTTGTGATACCTCAGTCTATAGTATATTACATTATATTATTATTGAGTATGATTATTATTATTATCTCTTTTCAGCTCGTTGGAGGCGAATTTGATATGGAACTGAATTTTGTGATTCAAGATGCCCAGAATATCAAGCACATGCTAGAACTCTTGGACCATTGCCCTCCAAATTTACAGGTAACTTTTAATGATAAAATATCGAAACAGCCTACCATGGCCTTCCTCTCACATTGAGGTTTATGTTTATTTTAATTTCACACAATTCTTATTTAAAATACATGAGATTTTCTATATATTTTATGTGGTTTACAAAAGCCTAGGCATGAAGTAAAGATCTTAGGAAAAACTGATATCTGTCCAAGATCTAAAAACATCATTCATGTATTGAACATAATGAATTTATGAATATCAAAAAAGCTTATAAAAGCTTACTTGTCGAGAAACAAAAATAATCACATGTTCCGTGTAAGCGTTTCGTAAAAACATATCCAAACATATCATTACATCACACACAGCAAACAAAAACAATTTTTTGAATTTGTAAACAAAGAAAAACGTTTACTTAATTACTGTCAGTTTGTAACATCTTTCTTTTTACCAAAAACTTCATCGCGCAAACCGCGAAGAAAATTTAATTTTTCTATGCTGTATTCTATGCTATGTAACATTGTTTAATGTTGCAGACCAAAAAAGATAAACTAGCCATAAAGTCACTTTTTTACACTTTCTGTGACAACACCAGAATCCTGTCAAATATAGACATTATTTTTTTTTCTATTTTCTCGAAGCACACAAATAAAAGTAATGTTGACATCTCCCCGATGTCTTTGACGGGTCAAAGCAAAATAAATTGTCTTAAATAAGTAAGATGAACTTTTCTACACTTACACACCACATGGTCGTGGGGAAATCGTTTTGAATCCATAAATACAAATCGAATGGAATTTTTGTATGCCAGATTAATGGTATTCATTTTGGCAAAGGCATTCACTATAATGCCCTTCGATGGATTAAACACTCACTATAGACATTTCTGTGATTTTATTGGTAAATGTTATTGTACGTCATGTCATATTCCACATAGTTCCTGTTGCCATGAAATCCGACAAATGACTACATCGAATAAATAATACAGATGAATACCATTTCTATAGATCCTCCTAATACAATTATTCTGATCGTCTTAGTGAAAATCAATTATTTTCGATTAAATTTCAGCCGCTCGAGCGAAAGTATGCGTTGATTTCATCCAAATTTCATTATTTCTCTCCGCTTGCCTCATCTATTCATTTCGAGCATTGAGTCTGTTTTTATTTTTATGTTTCGTTCATGCGCCGACGATTTCTTCATTTTTGATTTATTTTTCTCGTTTGACATGCAGGAAAGATGTACATAAAGTGGAAAAATAAGATCATCTAATGAAATTATTATGCGATTGGAATTAAATTAATTCATTGAAAATATTTGGATAACTGTTGAATCACACATTCACCACAGTAAAAATGAAAGCTTTGCCAAAAGCGTGGGTTCATTTGATGAATTTAATGTGTAAAAATAAAAAAATGCTCCAACGTCTTGAGGGATTTTACACACGCGTGTCAATAATAGCGTTACACAAATGTGCAAACCGTCACTGAAAAAGAAGAAAAGTTGTAATTCGTGATGAAAGCTAACGAAAATGTGTTTATTCGGCGAAAAACAAGAATTACTCCATCAAGTATTCAAGTACATTGAAGTTGAATCAGCAACACATTTCATGAAAGAGCTCTTTTTTTCTTGATAAAACTTGGAATTGATTCTAAATAATTTATAAAGCGTCGGTCCTAGTACAAGCCAAAGTCATAACAGTGTTCGCATTCCGATGAAATTGTCTGAAATTCTCATCTCAAACTGTCTTTTCGGCGAGCAGAATTCAACACAGTCACTTGAGATCAGCATCCACTTAACGGAATTAAATTTGTGCTACTCATAGCGTTTTTATTCGAAGCGTATCCTTGTCTCAAAATTACTTCAATTTACTAATAACGGAATTTTCACATTTTGGTTGTGTACTAGCAAGCAATTGGAATAATAATAAAATTCCGAGTAACTGCTACTGCAAAAAATGTAATTCACATGGTATTGGAAAGATTTTACATATAAATTTAATTCGTTGATTCTGTGTTTGCATCGATAAAGCCCATCCATCTATTGTAAAAAAAAAGTGACCACTACGACCACTGTGCTATAACTATTGCAATATTTGCACGAATTGTAGTCATTCATATTTTCCCTAGTGCCAAACCATCGTAGCAAATAAATTCAGCGTCAGCTTGGAATTATGTGTACGTTTAGTGTGAGGCGTGTACATTTCCAAATACACAGATGTACCAACTGAAATCGTGACAGTATATAATGTACACTGTACAACATTTCCCATTAGCCAGAAACATCAGACTCTATGTTTTGCCGAAATAAGTGTCAGTTCAATTTATAACATTTATTCCGAAATGACAAACATATTCAAATTTGGCGCATCGAAGAAGACGAACATAAGCAATTTCTTCTCTCACCATTGAGCCAATGGTGCAGTTAGTATTATTTGAATCCCCAATTCGATTTTGGCACAGTCATTCTATTGGATTTCATTTATTGAAGTGTTTGCCTGAATTGGCCAAGCGTTCGTTTCAATTTTCCTGAATGGTTCAGACATGATGTGAATTTAAAATTAAATGAAAACAATGCGGCAAAGTACAGTTTGGTGTAATTGGTTTAAAATTGTTATCGTTGGCCATATACTTTTCGCCGAGAACAAAAAATCAAATTGCTGATTATAAATATAAAAATTTGTGTCTGCAAATATAATCTAATTGAAAAAAAAAATGGGTCAAATTGATAAAAACATCGAAAAAGCTTAATCAAGTCAGGTTTGTTTGCGCTGCAAAAGAGAAAACAGCCTGATTCGCATATGTCATGTACAAAACCAAGCAAAAGTGGTTTCCGTCAATTCGATTCCCTGACATATGTGTACATTGTGGTTGTTCATCTACAAAGAATGAGGAAGTGAGAGAGGCAGAGAGAGAAAGAGATAGAGGATGAGCACACGTTAGATTTGTCGATGCCGCCTGCCAAACAAAATATAATGCAGCCACCATCCACCGAACAGTTTTCATTTGATATGGAGTGGTGTAATATGCAGCACATCAACTTCAATGAAAATAGATGTGACATCAAAAACACTTCATTCGCTTCCTTCTCCTTCCCTTCCGAAGCTCTCCGTGTACACTTTGAATAATGTGTCTATGGATTTGTCGGGGTTTACTCATGTTTTTGTTATGTGATATATTCCCGTTTATTTTTTCCATTCATTTTTTCCTCTGACATTTGGGATCACAGTACTTTGGCTTGGATGGTTGTAGTTGTACTTGACATCATGCATTTTTAAAGCTCTGGGATGGAATTGTTTGTTTACTCATTTCAAAAGCAAGCCTTTATAACACGACACTTTAAGAGCTGGACTTAATACGAGAACCAAATCAACAGCAACAACAATTTTTTTTCAAAACTGCAAAATGAATGAATACACGCGAAAAGAAAATATTTCATCCAGTCTTGTTAAGACTGCATCTGACGGTCATATTTATCTATTTGCTTCGCTTGAAGCACATGAATTCCAACGAGTGTTTGCTTTGTTCACAAACATTGCTTGCTTTTTTGATGGTTGTTGTTGACATTCTACGTTGACATTAGTTTTTTCGATGAATCTTCTGATGACAGAATGTTGACGCAAGTAAAATTAAAGTTGACAAGACTGTTTGCATAGGCATATTGTTTTTATAATAAAGATAAAAAGCTCACCCAATTCGAATGTCCGGTCAGTACTATTTTCACGATTCCAAACTTTTTTTTTTCAAAGATGTTGCACAATATCCTTTCCAGAAACTAAAATCAGGAAATGGAGAACGAAGGCGAAAATTAAATATTACGGCAATATTGTATTGATGCTCCACGAATAGCATCATCATAAATAAATCAAGCCCCAACACATTCGTGGTCAATCTATTCCATAATTCATGAGAACAATGCTCATGTCAAAACACTCGTACATACGGAATCTGTATTACAGATGATACATTCTGCTTTCATCCCACGCTATTTGAATTAGGAGATTTTATCGTAATTTTTTCTATCAAAACTTCGAATTAACTGCAGACGTATGTTCACCAAATCGAACTCATCTAACAACACGCGTTTGAATTATTTCAATGGAATCAACGTGGACTGTAAACGTAATCTTTTCCAATAAATATTGGTGAGTTTTATAGGAGCTTTTCGATTTCTCACTTCACTGAATCAAACCTGTTACCTGCAGGTGATTTGCTCTCAATTCCCGCCGAATATAACATAATCAATGTGAAAAATGGGTGAGTGCGATTCGTATATATTTGAAATGAATAAAAGTAGGCTTGTTTTCGAAAAATATTATCCAAACACGCATATCGCATAGACAATTATGCTGGGTTTCGTCATCTTCTGTAGGAAACAAAAGATCGTGCCTTCCTTCAGAAATTTTGCAGTTTTCTTATGTTTTGTTATGTGTTGAGAAGAGGTAATATTGGTAATTAGAAATAATGAACAATCCAGTTTCGGAAACAGAATAGTTGGTGGCTCAGATAAGAATCTGGGTAGTAAAACCATCTGTGAAAATGTTCTGAAGCCAGAACATGAATACAAATAGAGAATTATAACGGGAAATGTGCACATCATTGATTTAGTCAACGAACCATATCAATTGAGAATCAGCACCGAAGTGAATCGGTTTGCAAGTAGAAGACCTCCTTTTCCACATTAACCAATTCCGAAAATGTAGATAGCACTGTGTATTTTCATCTGTCTTGAAAGTGTTTCTTCCAAATAACCTTGCCATTCGAGAACAACATTGAAAAATACGCCAACAAATCGAAAAGTTGGAAATGTAAATAATTGTTCTTCGATATCGCTTGCAATACTTTTCTCTGGTTTTGGTGTGAAAATGGAAATGTTACTGTTAGGAAATCAGAGCGTTGTAAGTGTTTGTGGCAATTACAAGTTGTGAAATTTCTGCATCGTTGCCTTGAAAGATTTGTTCGAAGAGAAGCAGAATTTTCGATTGAAAATTGGCAACCAACATGGATGGAAAATGTCATTTAAAGTCATTA